AGTCCTACAGGACACAAGAATTAATTCTAGTGAAACATGATTAGGACTCCCATCCTGCATGTCCTCCCCACACTTACCTAAACCACAGTACCAGAAACTGTCCCATCTGCTATTTTTATCTGAAATGAAACACATGTTTGCATGATCACTGCATGCAACCCTGGCTTAAATAAGCTGCACATGCTGGCAGCTGTTGTGAACATTCAATCTACAGCCATGGTTTATTTTGACATCCAAAACCAGTGCAGCATGAATTATTGCCATGCTTAATGATCCAACAGAACCCCAAACTAGCCAGTGTTAACCCTAGCAACAGCCCAGCCTCACAGGTTCAGACATCTCAATAAGCCATTGAGACTGCCCAGTACGCAAGGTGAATACTCACAGCAGGCTTGAGGCACAGCTTACTGTGGATTAAATCACAGTAGCAGGCCTGTAAACCAAGGGAGATGGCAATAGCAATTAACAGCAACCAAAGACTGAGAATGAGACAGCAGGCACACCTTGCAGTCTTAGGCATGATGGGTTAACTTTCATGTAGGTTTGCAGCCTTATTTTCCATACAGTTTATGATGTATGTGAAAAATGCCCTCAAGTAAGGAGAAATTTCTCCTTACTTGAAATCCATCAGGGTGTGAAGGTTGTCCTTTTACCCAATTGCGCATTGTAACTAGTGTTAGCCATACTTGGAATAGACCCATTGAAATAAATAAGACTCGTTAAACGAGCACTGACTGTAACAGCACCCGCTTAAAGAGGTCAAGAGCGCCATCACCTTCCGGACAGAGGGCCACCTGCTAAATAGGAACTCCTCTTCTCTAAGACTGCCCCGCACCCCCTCTATGAATAATCCCGAAGAAGAGACCCCTGCTCCCTCCTGGCTGTTTCGCGGAGTCACCAGAGGGTTAAGCTGTCAGCTCTATAATGTTAAACAGGTGTCAAAGGCGCCTCCATATATCTGCAGATTGAAATCAAATTCTTTGCCGTATAAAAAGATAAATTACCCAGGCGATTCCCGCCTCGTCCCACTCATCAGGCCAGCGCCAGACGGCGAGCAATTTTTTTTAATGTGCTAACGACCTAATCAAGCAATCAAGTCGGAGAAGATTGCGGAGTGACCCCCGAGCATCCATCTGCCAGCGCGCCCCCACCATTCATTTCCATTCCGACGGGGACAGCGGCTGCTTTCCCTGGAAAGGGAAAGGCGGAGGTGGAGGGGAGGGGGAGTAAAAAAAAAGGAAAGAAAAAAGGATTCCTAAACAAATTAACACCCAATTTTCCAGCCTAATTAGTTAAATGAGAAAAAGCTGGTGGCGTGAGTGTGTGGGGTTGCCACGGAAGGAGGGGGCGCCTGCCTCGAGGAGAGGCGAGCGGGAACTTCACCACCACCACGGCATTAATTAGCGCGGGTCAATGGCGCCGATCCCAGGGGAACAGCCGCTTTAATTTCCCGTGATATTTCAGTGCCTGAGGCCCATCGATTCAAACTGAAATTAACTTATTTTTCAATCAGGCCCGGGCTGCCCCTGGGGCTGACTCTTCCTTTGCCTCCTCCTGAATAGACCGCGAGCAATTTTTCATCTCAAAGCTGATGCCTCCTTCTCTCTCTCTCTGAAGCGGGAAAAGGAGGGGAGAGGAGAAAGAGGCAAGAGGAATAGGAAATGGGAGACTGGAGCGAGCGCGCTAATAGATTTCGCCTGGGCGCTCTGCTGCGGGTCACGCAGCGCTGAGGCTCCCTCTGCGGGCGAGCGCTGGCAGCGGGGGCATGCAAGGCAGGCGGCGCCCGCTCGCCCGCCCGCCTCTCTGCTGGTCCGCCATGATCCAGCGCACAGGGGGCCCCCTCGTATTCCGCTCGCGGCGCGCTCTGTGGCGCCCATTACATAACGAAGGAGGGAATCCCAGGCACGGAGAGCCAAAAGCCGCGAGCGCAGCAAAGCAGTAATGGGAAATTAATTATGGCCCTGTCCTGAGCTATCAGACGCTGGCTCCTGCTATCAGGGAGGGAAAGTGGAAATATATCGCAGATCCTGAAAGAGGAACGAATAGACATAATCTATTCGCTCCGCATAATCCCGGCCTGAGGTGGCCCTTGCCAGGTGTGGAGGGAGGCTGTTTGCATGTGTGCGCTCACACATGCCTGCTTCACCCGTGAATGCAAGGTCAAGCTGGTAGAGCGAGATCGTGGCTTCCTCCTCCTCTGCTAGATGCAGTCCGCTTCTGCTCAGGTGGAGTACAGAGGGGTGAACAGATCAGGCTGTAGGTGGGAGAACCTGTCTATATACCGCTGCGGAAACCGGCTGAATTGTGCCTGTCGGCAGAGGTGCTATCGTGTCTTCAAGCAGGGCTAGCTCAAGGTATTTTAATGTCCCAGGCAAGGAGCGATCCTGCCCCTCCAGTCCCCTCCAGCCTTACCGTTATTGAGTTCCTCAGCAGCATCAGATTTTTTCTTGGAGGGCGTGAATTTGCTGAGATATCCATACTAGTTTTATTTTTTTTCTTTAACATTGCAACATTTCTCCATGTCACTGAAACGGCAGTGCATTTGGAAAACAATCTTCGTATCCTTTAAAGCAGTGATCACCAATCTTTTCCCTCATCTTCTTTTCACCTTGCCTGTAACATGGGTCATTTTGATTATGGGCAGGGGGAGGAAGAATTCTTTTTTGGAAACATTGTGCTGTTCTACAGACCATTCCCCTTACATTTCACTGTAGTTCACTGCCTCTCACACTTGAAGCAATGCTGTGATTTGAAATAGCATGGAGCTGTATCCTGGACATGCCAAGGCACTTGACTGTGTGTCTAGCCACTTAATTGCAGCCTGATTGCATGTTATTTGGTGCCCTAGGCAGCCACCCTAGAAACTGCCCTGATCTTCAGCATGGTCCAGTTTAGGAATCTTATACTTGTATATTTTAAGGCCAACCAGGCTAATTGCATGAAAGCATGCTGGCTGCAAGGCCTGCCCAAGTCGTTTTGTTGCCTGAACCGGAGAACAAATTTTCCTCATCATTCCACTTGCATAAACCAACCTGACTGGTAGGTGAATCTTTTGGCACTGGTGATGCGGCAATGTCCATCACCGCACCTGCAGATAGTAGCCTAGCTTGTCTATGCACAGCTGGCTGCTGGGATCACACAGCTCTGCCGCCGTGGCTCCCTCCACACCAGCTGGCATCTGCCCCTTGACTGTCATACTCTGCCTGCTGCAGAAAGTTATTTGACTAGGGCACCAGCAAGGTAGGGGAGCTTGACGCTTTCCCTACCTCCATACCCACCACATCAGAGGCAGTCTGAGTTACTTTTTACACTTGTGTTGGAACTATTCCAGGGTAACAAAAGAGACCTTTCTATCTTTCACGTCTGGCTTGCCTCAGGACTGGCAATAGTGGCAGATGCTGCATCAGAACTGCATGGAGCAGGTGGGAGGTTCAAGGACCAGGCATGCTTCTATCTCAGCATAGCCCAGACCATCTCTTGGTCATGCTTGGGTGTAACAAGCTTTTGCCTAATTGGTATCACTAGTTTCCTAACATTTTATAAAGTTGCTGTTGGTTTTACTTTTGATTTTTGAGTGGTTCAGGTATGCCCAGGCTGCTTCTACACCAGGCAGTGTGAAATTACCATGCTTTGCTCACTTACATTAACTGTGTGGATAGCACTTTGGGTATTCATTTGTAATCATTCTGTGCTTTCCTAGTGATTCTTCCATCTTTTTTTTCCAGAGAGGGATAGAGGGATAGTGCAATTTGCACAAGTGTAGGTCCCTACTCTTCCTTCTTTCTAAAGAGGTGTGCTTTTGATGTGGGCACTACCCCATCAGGCAGGTGAATCTATTACAGTTCTTTGCATACACTATAACCTTTGCAGTGGGCATCATTTTATAACCCCATTGACTTTTAGGATTAATTTTTCCAATTAGCTCTAAAATGCTTTTCTAGTGATATTTTTAACAAAAGAAAACTTTCATGTAAATAGTATGGCATTGATTGATTCCTTAACATATTGCTCTAGTAGCGCTACGTAGAGGATCACTTTGCTAAAACATTTTGTTGTTGTTGTTAGTCGCGAAGTTGTGTCCAACTCATCACGACCCCATGGACAACATTCCTCCAGGCCTTCCTGTCTTCCACCATCCCCTGGAGTCCACTTGAGCTCACACTAACAGCTTGAGTGACTCCATGTAGCCACCTCATTCTCTGCCATCCCTTCTTTTGCAATCTATTGTTCCCAGCATTAGGCTCTTCTCCAGGTAGTCCTTCCTTCTCATTAGGTGGCCAAAGTATTTGAGTTTCATCTTCAGTATCTGGCCTTCTAAAGAGCAGTCAGGGTTGATCTCCTCTAGGACTGACCGGTTTGATCGCATTGCGGTCCAGGGGACTTGCAGGAGTCTCCTCTAGCACCACAGTTCAAAGGCCTCAATCCTTCGGCGCTCAGCCTTCCTTAGAGTCCAGCTTTCACAGCCATACATTTTAACAAAGTGTATTTTCCTAATTAAGATGTTCAACCTACACTTCTGATTTGAGACAACTATTAAAAGATTTTTGGCACTGCATACTAATAGGCAATCATGCTGTAATGAATAGATGCTTAATGTTAAATCCATAATCCTCCACCCTGTTTTTATGATTGCTCAGAATTACTTTTTTTTTTTCAAATGACTACTTAGGTAAATAGGACCTTTGCTTCTCCATCTATATCAGCTATATCACTTCCCCATGTGTGGACAGAAACAGGGATGAAAATAGAGAAAAAGTGCTATGTTCATGATAATGTGGAAAATTAATTGCAATTCTGCTTGTAGCCTTCAGTTGAAGACGATTGATTTATTAGCACTAGGATCCCCTGTCTGGAAGCAACCCTGTTGAAAACCCCACATTAGCACGGGCTTGTTCATTCCATTTCACATTTGCAGTATTTTACAGCCAGTCTAAATGAGGGTGCAGCAATATTGTAACCAACAAGTACTGGCCTTGCTTAACAGTATTCCTTTTTTGCAGGTTTGGTTTCAGAATCGAAGGGCCAAATGGCGGAAAAGGGAGAAGTGCTGGGGCAGGAGCAGCGTAATGGCAGAATATGGGCTGTATGGTGCGATGGTACGTCACTCCATTCCACTGCCAGAATCCATCCTCAAATCGGCCAAGGATGGTATAATGGAATCCTGTGCTCCTTGGCTGTTGGGTAAGAGATGAACCTTGGGAATAGATCTATTTTGTCTAATCAGATTCCCTGGCAGAGCTAAATGAAATAAAGCAATTGGGCCAGGGAAGTGTATACTTAGGAAGGATTGATACAGGTATGTTGTTTTCCTATAATTTTTTTTATGAACTTTAGAGATTGATACCCAGGCTTTGATTAAGGCAAGACTGCCAGTAGGGGAAAGTTTCATTACATTTTAGAGCATTCAAGTTCCTTAATGTTTTATTTCTGTGAACTGCCTAGAGAGTTTCAACTATTGGGCAATATCAGTGTTTAATAAATCCATAAATTTCTTATTCTTAACCCTTATGTTACGTTCCCACACTTCTGCTGCAAAAAATAGTTCTCCATATCTAGTCCATAACGTTAGAGCAGTAGCTTGCCACACAGATAAATGATAACTATGTCAGTAGAATCCATGTTGGCTGCTAGCTAAGGGTATAGACTTTTGATAAGATGGCAAAAATGATTTGGGCTCCTTAAAAAAATAACAATTGTTGTAGGAGCTTTCATAAGCAGCATCTCCTTTCTCAGATATGGTAGGTGGAAGTGTAATGCCTACTGCAGATCAGTTGTGTCATGATATACCTGGAAATGAGGCTGTGTAGATATATTTTATTTATTATATTTATATCCTGACATTTTTCCTTCAAGGAACTCATGGTGGATTACATAATCCTCCTTCTCTCAATGTTATCTTCACAACTACCCTGTGAGGTAGATTAGGCTAAGTGTCAGTACCTGGCCCAAAGTCACCAAGTCACTGAGAACATGGATCCCAATACAACACTCTAACCACTATACTACACAGGGTGTATATATGTGCAGATAAGAAGAATTCTCCTGCATTAAATGAAGACTCTTTCTAGTCTAACATTCTTTTCAGCAAACTGCTGAGAAGGTTAAAATCAGGTCTGGAAGGCAATGCTCCTCTGAATTCTGAATACCCAGGCTGATGTCCTAAGCAAACCAGGGGGAAAATGTTCCCACTCAGATCCATACCAAGATCCCGCACCCAGGACCCATGAGGCACAGCTGCAGCATGCCCAGACACTAAGACCTCTTAGAATGTTGCTGGCTGTGCAGAACAGGAGATGGAGAAATCCTCTCGTTCTGCAACCCCCTCCCATGCACCAGGGACAGTGAGGGGCCCCTGGTAATTGTTCAATTGATTTCTCCTTCCTGAATTTGTCTAATCATGTTTAAGCTAGTAGCCATCTCCATGAGATTAACACTCCTCTTGCACTCCTGCTCAGCTCTTCTCTTCTGCTTTTCCAGACTTATTCTACAAAGTTAACTTCTGACTTCTAACAAATATGCTGCATTATTCTGACTGCTGTGTGAAACCCAGAGTGGAAAGAGAGAGAGGCAAAAGGGCTGGGATGTGTAAGAAGAAAGCAGAAGCTTGCTTCTTTCCATCTTTGTAGGTAGTATCATAACTGGATTGCCTCCCCAGGACCTTGTTCACATACAGAATTACTGTAAGAAGCACATCCCTTCCACTATTTTAGTGTAGAACTGTGCAGCCCACTAGAGTTAGGTGGCCCCGTGTCTTTAGGTTCCTCTCCATCCACCCACTAGGCTTCTGCTGTACATAGTTCCTATTGCTGGGATATCATAGATTGTGTCTTCTGTAATAACAGCCTTTTATGCATTTCTAAAAACTGTACCTTTATAAGCACAGATTCTCAAAGCGGTTTCCCTCTTGTGGACAAATCACAGGTTATTCCACAAGTTATCCTGAGCCTCATCCTGTCTAAAATGTACAGAATTGGTATCAGGGTTACAGTGCAAGAAGAAAGAAATGCAGCAGCAAATTTAGCTGAATGCAGCATTAGTCCAAGTTTATCAGCTAGGTCTGGCTGTCTCTGTCAGAGAACTTGGCCTAACACCCCCCTCATACAGGGCCCAATGCAGTGGGCTCTCTGTGTGACTGCTGTATGAAGCAAGGCTTTCTGCTTTTCCTTAATTCTGGCCTCTCTTTATCTTTACTGTTTTCAGTTCAAGATGGCTTTCCCATGCCCAGGCGCTTTTCTAAACCCGAATACCAACAATTCTTTTTAGGGATGCACAAAAAATCTCTGGAGGCAGCGGCTGAGGCAGGAAGGAAGCCGGAGGTGGAACGCCAGGCCCTGCCCAAGCTTGACAAGAGTGACAAGGAAGAAAGGGGCCCAGATTCCAAAAGCACCATTTCCCAGGAGGAACTGAGAGAGAACAGCATTGCTGCCCTCAGGGCCAAAGCTCAGGAGCATAGCACCAAAGTCCTGGGGACCATCCCGGGAGATTCTTCTACCCCAGTCAGGAAGCCAGAGAAAGAAGACGAAGCAGTCACAGCAGAGGATGAACGGCAAATGGAGAAGTCAGATTTATCACAAGAGGAAGAGAAGCTGGTTTAGAAGGAAGGGAATGATGGGAAATCTGCCACCTCTCCAAAGACTGACTCCGCTAGGAGCTGCAGCCTTCTCCTTTCAGACTAATGGGGACCCTCCTCCAGCCCCATCACGCATGGAGGGAGACCCACCTGGTCTCTGTACATTTCAGGATGCCACAAGCTAAGGCTGTGTTCTGTTGGGTGTGTCTAGAGGCTGATGTCCCCCAAGGGCCTAATGTCCCTCTCATCCTGTCCTCAGGAGCAGGTGCTCTGCTATCTGCCCTGCTGGGTGGGTGGGGGTGTCATACCATCACCATCTTAGTCTAAGGGGAAAATTAAGCTAGCTAGGATTTTTCCTCAACACCAGCCACTAAACCAATGTTGGGTCTTTCCTTTCTCTTTCCCTTCATTCAGTCTCCATTATCCCATTCCCACACTCATCTGAAGGCATCATCATCATCTTTCTGTATTCCATGGTCAGAGTAAGTCTGTTTCTCCTTGTCTCTGTCAGGTTCCTAGCTTTCCAGAAGAAGAATCAATCATTCTTCCTATTTATACATAAGTTATGTAAATATACAGATGTTTTAAACTGTCCATTGCCTAGCATTGAGGCCAAATTAAAAAAAGAAAGAAACTATTCCCTTCTCCAATGTCAGGTCAAATTTAAAGCTGGCCAGGTGGCAACCCTACCTCATAGTGTGTCTCTCCCTCACAGCAATATCTAATTCTTGTTGGTGGAAAAGGCTAAGGCACCCTTCCAGTGCAATGTAAATTTTGCAGAATATATGGCCCTCTTTGGCTTATTTATGGCATGCAGCCTGCAGCATTCCAAAATCCTGACTCCTCAGGTAGCATGTCACTGTTCCCCTTTAGTTCAGATCACTTCAGTGGAAAATCTATGGAAATAAATGCATATAATATTGAGCTGATTCTAATCTTCCATAGATATCTTTCCTAAAAGGAGCCTGACTTGTTCTGAAGTGGGAAGGAAGTTCTTGATTACTGAAAGGTAATGAAGATTTAAGGTGCCAAAGTTGCTTGGATGTCATATTGGAAGTCTTGCTCCATCTTGGGTGCATAGGATCTTGCAGGACAAGTAGCTGGCGAGGGAGTGTCCTCTTATATTCCAGGGGTTACATTCTTTGCCGTTGTGCAGCTTAGCTCAGGTGAGTGCTATAGTTGGTTCATGGTTCTCAAATGGAAGTTTAGAAATAGAGAGTTTCTGGAAAAGGAACTTAAATTTTTTCATTTGAGTTTTAAAAGCCTGCAAGTGTTTCCACATGAGGCTTCTAGTGTGCAATCACACTGCCTCTCTCATCTATGGAATTTGAGAAGAAGGGCCAGGTTACAACATCTTCCATTTGTAGTCCTCCTATGCTGTTCCACTGCTTTTCCTGTCTTTTATTATTGGGAAAAAAAACTGTTAAGAAACAGAAGACTGAGTAATTGTATAATGCCTTTTGAGTGGTAGTGGCAGGGCCCCCCCCCACCCCACACACACACCAAATTTGGAAGAACCTAAGAGTCTTAGGGCTCTGCTTAGGTCAGCATTTAACTTTTAGATGAATATGTGAACTGACTTCCTTGTAATGCACTGTGTTCAAGGTGATATGGAAATTCTCCCTGAGGAGTCCGATCATCAGGGATCACTTGTTCACATGTGCCCATCATCACTTGATGATGGATGAAACAGCCTATATAAAGCAGACTGCCTGTGTGTGCATCTCACCTACATTTTGAGCAGTTAAAATAATTACCTGAACAATTTGTTCAATGTAAGTTACAGGAAATAAAGCACTTATGGACAGCTTGCTGTCTGAGAGTAATGATTACAGACCGAATGTCTTTGATAAGTGATTAACTCCCAGGCACTGACATGAGGTCATGCCCACATAGCCAACCACCCCAGTTCTATAGTACCACGGTCTCCTATTCTTCTGTGAAGGTACCTGGTTAGTAAGTCCAGTTTTCCTTTTCCCGTCCTTCTTTCCAACAAGAGTTTTTTTTTCTGAAATTGCTGTTTGATTTGTTTATGATTGGTCTTCCCTGCCCACACAATCTCTTTCTATGTCCCCCAGTTCTTTGGCGTGTTAGATTATAGCCCAGAGTGTGTAAATAATGTACATATGGTGAGAAAAGTTGTTATTTGAGGTGTTTAAGATACAAAGTTGTAACAACCAGTCATTTGAAACCTGTGATTTTTGTGCCATTTTCTGTAAAAATATAAATCGGAATAAAACTGAACTAAAGATGGGCAAAACCCATGGTGAGTGCACTTGAAGGTTCTGGATAAAACATACACCAGCATACTTTGTGGGTACATTTGTACAATACACAATTTTGACTGCAGCTGTTCGGAGATGGAGCTGCGTGTAAACGTGTATGAAAATTGCTAATACATATCTTCATATTTTTATATATTTCCATGTCTGTAACACAAAACCTTGGAGAAGTTATAAATGTCCAATATATTCTCAGTCTAGTATCCTTCAAGTTCCTATAGTATTATGAGGTATTTCATTGGAAGGGTTGAGAAAAAGGATTTTACTCTGGCAACTTTAACAACAACAGATCTTATATTTTGAATATATAGACAGACAAAACTCACCCAGTGTTACCAAACCTTCAGGAATACATTCATCAGCCTCCATTGCTTCAGTGCTAAGAATAACACCAAACATAATGATACGGGAAAGTGGTTGAAAATTCAAAGTCCCTGAATTTATGTTGCAAGGCTTACATGTTCTTTCCTCTTTTAGGAACATAGAAACAGAGCGAGTCAGAAGGGGCTTCCTGGGCCATCTAGTCTGACCCCTGGCTCCACTCATGACATGCCTATTAGCCTGAACTCCAATTAGTTTTACAGAGGGGAGTTTGAGGGGGGCCCAGTGGAGGTATACTAGGCCCCTTTCCTTTAAAATGGGATTGGCAGTAAGTCCTGTTCCTGCTTTTTCCACATGTATCTTTCTTGCTTTGGCGGGGAGGGGTGGTGCTGGGGTATGGGGATCAATTATTGCTTTTATGTCCTTGAAACATTTGCTACTCCCAAACCGCTGAAGGACACCCATGTTACAACTATGTATTTCTATGCAGGTTACATATTCCATGAGTTACATTCAACAGATAGTATCCGGTTATGCCATGGTGTTAGCACTAGTGACATTGGACTAGTGCAAACTAATGCTTTTGTAGCTTAAGTAGCATTTGTTAGGCCAGAAAAGCAGAACTTTGCTGGCAAATCGTCACTTTTTTCCCATTGCCCTGGTAAGCACCAGGTACATTGTACCATTATTTGTTTTCACTACCATATTGTCATTAGCATTATAGCACAATTAGATACTGCTCCATAGCTGTACTTTGCATGTACTTTATGCATATGTGTTCCACCGATCATCCCTTTGTATACATGCATTAGTGCCAGTTGTGTAGCAAGCGTAAATAGTACAGCTCTGTGGGAAACTGCTCCTTAGATAATAACTGGGGGCTGGGTTGCTGGTGACAGCAAGAATTAAGGAAGCCCATGTATTGTTTGAGTGCAATTATTTGGAGTGCCCTCTGCAGTAAATGAAGAACCTTTTGCCTGGGATTGCAGTGGGGCAAATACTCAGTCTACAAGTACAGAAACCAAAGGACAGGGTTTTGTCTTTGCTTTAAGGTTTTACTCTTGTATTGTATACATACTGGAGATGTTTGAAATCATTCTGATAAGACATCCCATGGTTCTTGAGCAAGAAACCATCTGGCCTAGTTTTCTGTTTTGTTTTGCAGTTTGGCACTGACAGCACTGTCTCCTATTAATGTTGTCTGCGTCTGCCTTAAAGCAGAAATCTAGGAGTAGCACTACTATTGGGCTCAGTTTCCTTTGAGGGTAAGCGAGCACTGAAGATAGATGTACTAAGGTTTTTTCCCTGCTTTATTTGCAGAAGGATTGGTGCATCCTTCACAGAAGGCTTTTTCAGGGTTTTTCCTCTGTCTTTCTCTATGATCCTGTATGTTCTTTTATACAACACTATGTGGTGTACTGATTCAGAGTGGAATTGTGAAATTTCATTAGAATACTATGGTGAATAAGGAAGACATTCATAATAGCTGACATTACAGGCTCTAAAAAAAGTTGTGGAAATGGCTAGAAGACATTGGAGAGGTCTTGAAGAATGAGGATGAGTAAGGGATCATAAGCACATGATAAATGCCTTGTGGAGAGAAGCCCCAAGAGTCCCTTCAAGTTTCTTCTCTTTCTGCATTTAGAAGGAGCTGTTTCTCCCTTATACCCATTTCTGGTAAAGTGTTTGGTGAGATAAATAAACAGAACAGTTTTTAAAAAGTGGTATTTTACCTAGCCATGGGCCACAATAATGCTGTATGGGAGGTTAAGCATATATGGTTTTGTAGCAAATAGCCTGAGATAGTGTAGTGTGAATTTGATGACAGAAACAACAAGGGGCAGGATATGACTTGAGCTGTTAAGCTTCGTGATATGTGTTAGAAAACCATACTTGCCTATCTACATACCTAAGCATTGGCTATTGGTAGGTATAGAAACAAAATAAGAATAATACTGCTGATGGTGATCTACCTAGGAAAGGTATGTTGGTGTCCATCAAGTTACAAATTTCCTACTTGGGCTCACTTTTAATGCACAGTTGCAGAAGGCTGACCAATTAGTTTTTATATTGGCACCTCACTCTTGCTGCTGTCACTGTCAGTTAATCTACTGCAGGTAGGAAAGGATACCTGGAGAGCATAAACACAAGAGCATAAAGAGCTTCATGCTGATACTTTTGCTCAGGATAATCAATACCAGTTTAACTCACATTTAAGTTAACAAAGCTAATATAAGAAGGGTTTCTTTGGCAGACATGAATATCTACCCCTTTATGGTTTAGGCAAAGCTTTCCAAACATACTGCTCACACTCGTAACGAAAAAATATCTAGGTGGCGTAGGATAAGAAATAAAAGGAACCTATCTAAACTAAAATTAGAGTATCTGAATCCCCAAAATAAAGCTCAATAGCTCAGTTAACAGCACAGTCCAGTGTGGCTGTCCATAACCTTCTGAACTCTGAATGAATGGTAGTATCCCAT